TCAAGATCTCAGCAGAGGAGTATTAAACAGCTCCACAAACAGCATCACCAGCTTCTTATTACTAACCAGTGTGACTTTATTTCTGTCATATGTGTACAAAAGCTCTTATTGAGATTTTAGGTGTTGTACTTTCATTTGAAGTCACCATAATGGCGATCGGTGTTTGCTTTAGTTGGGCTCTTGAACCTTGACTTTTTAAAAATAGTTTTTCTTTGGTTGCTTAAATTTGCTGTGTTTATTTAATGCAGTTTTTATAGCAAGTAAAGCCAAACGCATCTATGATCAGATAAAATTGATGTTTGTGATGTCAAGAACCTCATGAACTAGTCTGATTCACTGGTTTCACCTAATGTTTAATCTCTTATTAAGTGTTTAAGATATAAGTAATACTCTTGAGTTGTACCACTGATACTACCGCAATCATTGTGAAACATTTCTATGCACAAATACAAGCTTTGAGCTATGGCAGAACTTAAACAGACACAGACATCAACAGTCAGCCTATGAATCTCAACATTGGTGACAATCAAAAAAAAAATTCATGCTGCAATGCATGCTGGGAGTTTTGTTCAGGCACCCAGCATGCATTGCAGCATGATTTTTTTTATTAATAATAGTCACCATTGTTGAGATTCATGTGCTGATTCTTGATGTCTGTGTGTCTAAACGGTGCTGTAGCTCTGAAGGTTTTGTGCATAAAATGTTTTTAAATTTCTTCACAATAGCTTGTCAACATATCTTGTTGACTCATAGTAGTACCATAAACAAAAAATAAGCAACCCATACAATTAGACACTAACTGAAATCAGCGAATCAGATCATGAGATGATTATTTCATCATCATTAATAGTTATTCACCACTTCATTACAATTTCTCTCGGCTTTTCTTGTCATAATAAATGTGCTTTACACACACAGATACAACAGCAGACAAAAACTAACATTAAAGAGTCACGGGTCAAGAGTCCAACTAAAGCAACCACTGATCGCCAAAATGGTGAGACCAAACATAATCATTTAACAGGTTTTTACTGTGGCATTTCTACAGTCTTTTACCGTTAAAATCACGATCATTTTTTACAGTGTAGTAAATATGAACAAAATAGGTTGTTATTTGTTTTTATATGAATAATAAAATAAACATGAGGAAAACTTGCCTACTCAATTTTTAATTTTAATTTAATTTTTAATTGTATTACATGATTATTTGACTCATCAAAAAAGCATAGACATTCACTGAACAAGAATTTCACACCAAGTGTTTATGCAGAGTTTGGAAGCTAAAATATTAGCGTGCTTATTGAGGCACCCGCGCGATCTCTTGCATTTTTCCCTGTGGAAAGAGCTTAAAATACTCAGTTATTTTTTGGTCATAAAGATAAGACTAATAGGCTACATCATTTACTTTTATTATGCTTTTATTTGTGTACATAGTACACTCACAATAACACGTTATGCTTTTGTAAAATAGAGAAAATAAACAGGATGCGCTTTCTGCCATCCCGGTCTCCGTAAACTGACGCATCACAAGAATCAGCTACTTGCCTCACAGACATAAGAAAAAAATCTATAGAATGCTTGAAATGTCTACTATTAAATGAACCATTTCAAATAATAATAATAATAATAAAAACTGATAATGTAGTAGTCCGTATGAAAATGTGCATTTCTCTGTTAAAGGCACATCCATTATACTGCGGCAGTGGCAAGTCAGCATCGGCAACTTCATCTTTGCAGCTGACACTGACTCAAAAAGCAGTTAATAAATTATTAAAACGTCTTCTTTTTCCCCGACACATTCATAATCAGTACTTTTGCCAGTGTATTGCGCCAAGCTTTATGTGCGAGCTTTAGCGTGGAATAGGCTAAATTACACCTAGGCCTATATATTAAAGGATGGTTTAGTAGGCCATTACATTAATTAATTTAATATAAACGTACAACTAGTTGACTAGAAAAATCTTTAGTCGGGGGCAGGCCTAATTGTCACAAGGAACTGCTCCATTTTTAAAATGCTATGACATTAGGAATAGTGTGACAATCTACAAATCATGTCACGTTATTGCATTACATTAGTTATGCATGCGTAATAAGTCAAATGTTTTTATTTCATGTTTTGTTTTTCTTTTAAACTTATTTATTAAATATAACAGGCTACAGCCTGTTTTTACTTTCAGGGAAAATGTGTAGGGGTGCAATGGGGGTGCTTTGGTCTTTCTTGGGGGTGCTGAAGCACCTGCTAGCCCATCCCTAGCGCCGCCCATGCATCTGCACTTTGTTGTTTATGATGAAAGAATTCGCAAGACAGCAGAAATCATTCAGCGAATGCACGCACTGAACAACAAAACTCCCGTGTTTCAGCGATGACTCATCTGAACGCTTCTGATTGGCCACTGCATTCATTAACTCAACGGAATCATGTGTGATTGGTTACGTTTTGGTGAATAGTGTTTGCTTTAGTTGCCTCTTGACCCTTGACTTGAAACTTAAATTTAAGTTTCTGTGTGGCTGGCACAATTGTGTTTATAAGGCACATATGTGACGGCAAGAAACTTATGATAAAATCGTTTCATGCGTCTGAGTCTCTGATTGCATTTATCTATATCTGTAGTGCTTTTATGATTTCTGTATTATTGCAGTTCTATGATAGAACTATGATAACTTGAGAAAACTTTATAAACCATTTATAGAAATATAGCTCATAAAGGGGTTTCAATTCTGGCACTCATAGACATAAAGAATCAGCATATGAATCTCAGCGATGGTGACAAAATATTCTGATCATCTTGATATGATTTTTGAACATCACAAAACAAGGCAGTAAAAAGTCACAACAGAAATAAAAGCAAATAGTAAGAATAAAAGAAAATCCTAAAACAATGCAGCGGCATAATTTATTCATGTCGCAATGCATGCTGGGAGCCATGGATGAGCTATGATTGGTGCACCCAGAATGCACTGCAGAATCTGTCTGATGATCGTCACCATTGTTGAGATTCATATGCTGATCCTTGATGTCTGTGTGTCTAAACAGTACAGACGTTCTAAACTGGTGTGCAAAGTGTTTTTAAAGCTCTTCATATTTCTTTAAGATGCAGTTGTGATCAATAATATAAACTAAACTACACTTCACTACTGATGACATCAGTGAAAATGGCCTATATTACGCAACCATATTTTCTCTTGGTTTTTTTGCCATAACAAATGTGTTTCATAAATACAGTTACAGCAGCCAGAGAAAAATTAATGTTGTTAAGTCAAGGGTCAAGATCCCAACTAAAGCAAATGCTTATCTCCACAACGGTGTTAATTTTGTTGTGATATTATGTCGTTTTAGCAGTGGAGACATTAGCAGAGAATGAAGAGACGAGTGATCGATATACATTAAGGTCAGTAGGAATTTGTGATTTGCGCCATACTCTTTCTGCAGCTCTGAGCTTAGAACGATGCTCACGGAGAACATCAGATAGCCAAGGGGCAGAAGAGGTGGTACGAGCTGGCCTGGAAGACAAGGGGCAGACAGTGTCTAAACAAGACGTAAGAGTGGAGCAGAAAGTATCAGTAGCACTGTTAACATCAAGAGATGATAACTGTTCAGGGGAAAGAAGCAAAGATGAAACCATAGCAGATAGCCGGGAGGGTGAGAGAGAGCGAATATATAACATGAAACACTGTAAGAAATATGATGGAACAAATAAGACCTAATATTAATTAGATGATAATAATACTAACCTGATAATAATAATAATAATAAGAAGAAGAAGAATTGTCCTGCTCATGTCATTTTTTTTGTCACGTCCGTAACATATAGGCCAATTACCCTCATCCAAAATGTAAAACACGTTTATAGACTGATATTTCTGGTGTCTGGGTTTTAGGAAAATATCTGGGGTTTAGGAAAATATAAACAGATGGTTGAATATATTGGTAATGAATACACATCCTATGAGAATTTATATTTCAAATTTTGACTGTAATTGTCATGTTCATAACACTGGAATTGCTCACTTTCAGAGAGTCACAACCCTATTCCTGGAAGCCCCTCAAATTTGCACAGTTTGGATGAATCACTCTTATCTAACACACTTGATTCAGCTAATCAGGTCATTAGTAAAGTGCTCTATGACATCATCTGAGTGTGTCAAATAAAAGAGACCCCAAAATATACAGAAACAGTGTAGAGAAACACACTTACTGTATAAAATACAGTCAATAAAACAAAGACACTGTAAAATACTCACTCAGCCTTTCTAGATGCTTTGACCACTGGCAGCAGCCTCAGGAGACATTTTTCTGATGGATGATATTTACTCAGTTTAAACTCATCCAGTTCTTCTTCTGAGTTCAACAGCACAAACACCAGAGCCGACCACTGAGCAGCAGACAGTTTGACGCCAGAGAGACGACGGGCACCTGTTCTGCTCACGTATGTTTGGACTTCCTGCTCTAGTGAACAATCATTTAGTTCATTCAGACAGTGGAACAGGTTGATGGATTTCTCTGGAGAGCGATTCTCCCAGATCTTCTGTTTGATGTATTCAGCTGTTTCCTGATTGATATCAAAGCTGCTTACTGTCTTTCTCAGGAGACCTTGTAATAGAGTCTGATTAGACTCTAGTGAGAGACCTAGAAGGAAACGGAGGAAAAGGTCCCAGTGTCCATTCTCACTCTGTAAGGCCTTGTCCACTTCTCCCTTCAGTAAACTGGTCATTGGTGAACTGAACTCATTCCACTGTCCTGTGTTTTGTTCAGAAAAGGACAGCAGTTTGAATAAAGCAGCAATAAACTCCTGAACACTCAGATGAACAAAGCTGAACACCTTCCCCAGCTGCAGTCCAAACTCCTCTCTGAAGATCTGGGTACAAACTCCTGAGTACACTGACACTTCTCTGACATCAATGCCGCACTCTATCAGGTCCTCCTCATAGAAGATCAGGTTCCCTTTTTCCAGCTGTTCAAAAGCCAGTTTTCCTAGAGACAGAATAGTCTTTCTAGCCTGACGAGGATCGATTTCATATTTCCTGTCATACTTTTGAGTCTTCAGTTTGGTCTGAAAGATCAGGAAGTGTGTGAACATTTGTGTGAGAGTCTTGGGAATCTCTGCACTCACTGCTTTACCCATCATCCTCTCCAAAACAGTGGCTGAAATCCAGCAGAAGACTGGGATGTGACACATGATGTACAGACTTCTCGATGATCGGATGTGTGTGACAATTCTATCAGCCAGACTCTGATCATTTATTCTCTTTCTGAAATATTCATCCTTCTGAGGGTCGTTGAATCCTCGTACCTCTGTGACCTGGTGGACACACTCAGGAGGGATCTGATTGGCTGCTGCTGGTCGAGAGGTGATCCAGAGGAGAGCAGAAGGAAGTAGATTCCCCTTGATGAGGTTGGTCAGCAGCACATCCACTGAGGCTGATTCTGTTACATCAGACAAGCGCCGATTGTTTTGGAAATCTAGACGTAGTCGACACTCATCCAGACCATCAAATATGAACATGACTTTGTATTCGTCATAATCTGCAGATTTAATTTCTTTGGTTTCTGTGTGAAGGTGGTTTAGAAGTTGCTTAAGATTGAGATTTTTCTGTATCAGATTCAGCTCCCTGAAAGGAAGTGGAAATATGAAATGAACATTGTGATTTGCTTTTCCTTCAGCCCAGTCCAGAATGAACTTCTGCACAGAGACTGTTTTTCCAATTCCAGCAACTCCTTTAGTCAGCACGTCCATGATTGGACATTCCTTCATTGATTCTCTGATATTTATCCTGTAGTCTGGATCTGAGTTTTTGTTGATACACAGACATCAGTTCTGAACAAAGAAAATAATTGTTGTTATTTACTAATAATTAATTGATCGAAATATAATAAACAGAACAATAAAACAACACTTGGTAATAAAATTTAGATTTAGACTGATGTCATGACATCAGGAACATTAGTGACTGAAGAATGAAGGTTTTTGACAGGCTACACAGTAAAATCCTGAGTGTTAAATTAACACTGCTCCTATCGATACTTTCGATACTCGCATCAGTATCGATATATCGATACTTCGGATCGATACGCCCATCCCTACTTGTTAAATATAAGTTTCTGTTTTGGCTGTTACAATGGTGTTTATAAAGCACATATGTGATGGTAAGAAACTTATGATAAAATCGTTTCATTCTGAGTCTCTGATTGTATTTTATCTAAATCTGTAGTGCTTTTATGATTTCTGTATTATTGCAGTTCTAGGATATGAGACAATGTGAGAAAACTTTATAAACCATATTTAGAAGTATGGCTCATAAAGAGGTTTAAATTCTGGCACTCATAGACGTGAAGAATCAGCATATGAATCTCAGCGATGGTGACAAAATATTCTGATCATCTTGATATGATTTTTGAACGTCACAAAACAAGGCAGTAAAAAGCAGAGGTGGGACTTTCAAGTCACAAGCAAGTCTTCAAGTCATATCCCAAGTCCTCAAAGAGTTAAAGTTAATAAGATAATTAAGTGACTAATTAAATGATGATTGTGCATTAGTGATGAACACCTGCTGTTATTGAGAATTACAGAGGATCAGACGTTAATGTTTTATTGGTTAAAATGATGCCACCATCATGGAGATCAATGTTTGCTTTAGTTGGGCTCTTGGCCCTTGACTTCTGGTGTTAGATCTCTCTCTGTAACATTGCATGAGGTGTTGTAAAGCAGAGAAATCAGTGCTATGCAGCTCTTAACTGTTTTTACATGATGAGAAAATCATCATGAGCTGGCCTGATTAGAATAAAAATAACTTTTTTTCTGTTTATAAGTTTAGGTTATGTATAATCAGTCCTGTTAAACTGCAGCATGCAAACAAAGTGCTGCTCTCATAGTTACAGTGAATGTATTTTAAATCTATGCAATGCATATACAAATTTTTACACCAGTACTATTTAGACACACACAGACATCAAGAACCAGCATATGAATCTCAACAATGGTGACAATCAACAAAATGTTTCATGCTGCAATGCATGCTGGGTAACACCATAGTAAAAACTCCCATCATGCACTGCAGTACGAATAATTATTGTCACCACTGTTGAGGATCATATGATAAGTCTTCATGTCTAAAAGCCTGAGCTAATACATTTTTCTCTTTTTTTTTTTTCAATTTCAAAGCATTACGGAGGCATTTGTTTAGTGGGATTTCTTTTTTTTTCAGTTCAGTAATAGTTGAAGGTCAGTCAATAAACTTCATTTATATAAGTTCATTCATCGTGAGTTATAAGCAGAAAGTGTAAGCTCATCTGCTACTTCGAGGTTTTGATTCAGCAACGCATGAAAGTTTGCTCTGAAACAACATTGCAATTGCTTAAAAACAAATAATTTTGGAATTAATAAAAGTGTCAAGAGGCCAACTAAAGCAAACCTTGACCACAATTATGGTGACATTGCGTGTATGTGTGTGTGTGTGTGTGTTTTTGTGTTTTTTTTTTTCTTTTTCAGTTGATTTCATCCAAGGCTGTGGCTAAAGTCAGATGTAGTTCTTGTGTTTCTCTTTTCTTCA